CATGTGTCCTTTTTGCCTAATGTTATTTCTCCTAAGGAATTTTAGGAGAACCACCATTGAAGGGGAATTCCACCCATTTTTCAAAATACCTGCATTGTACAAATGTTGAGACGTAGTCATTCAGAGTGGTTTGGTGTGAAATGGTTCAGATGTCTTTACAGTGGTGGTGATAGGAACCAGGGGTCGCCATGACTACAACACAAATATAGACATTTTATTTACTATCCAGAACCACCAGTGAACCTACACGAGTCTTCTGAGTTTATATGGAATGTTGATGATGGAAAATAGTGGAAAATCTGAAATAATCCGTTTTCTTTGGGGACTATTTTGCCTCACAGCGCCCTGCATGTATCCCTCCACCATGAACAGACAAAAAACACATTTTAGGCTAAAATCTTCTATCGTTAAAACAACGTCTCAGACATCAGACAGCGTATTCATAACCATTTCATGTAATAACTTTTTAAAGGTGGACGTCTGGTTCCTATCACCACCACTGTGAATGATTCTGACTCGGTAAGTTTCTCTAGAACAGAACATTTTCATACCAAACCACTCTGAATGACTTTGTTTACATGTTAATCAGTGAACTATGCAGAAATTTTTAAAAATCGGTGAAATTCTCCTTTACGCCTCCCGACCAATCAAAGATTCAACATTTGAGCAATAAAACTTTCCTCTGGGATGTTTGTTGATGCCATAAGCATTGATACCAAACTGAAGCCCTGGGGAATTAGTGCATTCACGCAGTTTAGAACCCAGTTCTGATATGATTTAGGACCTAAAGGACCTGATCATAATTCCATTTGCATGCTTAAAGAATTCTTTACATGGTGGAATCATCCTTCAGACTGAGGAAGAATATGTTGTACATGATTCTATATGGCACCAAAAAGGGTTCTACTATTAAGACAAGCTTAACATTGCAAAAATAGAAGAACCCTTTTCAAAATGGTTCCATATAGAACCATCTACAGCTGTTTTCCATCCATTTTAAAAACGCTTTAATAAGGCAAAGAACCCCTAAATCATGCAACGGGTTCTTTGAGTGTTCATAGTTCTACATAGAACGATTTTCTTTACTAAGAACCCTGGAAGAACCATCTTTTTTAAGAGTGTAGGATGTCTTAAAAGTGGAAAAACACCTGGTTGCCCAGCTAAAAGTCACTAAAGAAGTTTAGAGCTTCAACGACATGGAGAAATACGACTCGGGACGGAAGTGTTTTCTGCGGCTGTAGCTTCAGTGGACGTTCATTAGGCACCTGTGAAGAAATCCTCATTGCCAAATATGACACTTTCAAACTTGCACACATGAACAAAGCTAATCTGATGCCAATATTTCAATAAATCATCCCTATGATAACAGATTACTGAAATCTTCATCTTTAGATAGTATTTAGGATTCACATTATAAATGATTGCTATTTTTGTCTTCATGAACAAACAGAATCGCGTCCAGTCCAGTCTCTAAATGCTATCCGTGCCGTTCCTCTTCCTGTAGAATGGCACTAAGCATCATTTTGCTTCTCTATGCTTTGTCAGTTTACCAAATAAATGGTGCAATAATTGCAGCAACCGCACTACACCGCTCATTTGCAAGATAATAACATGCACTGGCATGAATTTGTGTTCACTGCTCGAGGCCTACACTTACAAATGACACAAACCGCTGCTGTCGGAACAAAACCTTGTGCCTCCAAAATGATAACTTTACAGGAGAAAGAAAAAACGTACTTTACTTTTAATGTAAGTCAATGGAACCAGACTTTTTCCCAAGTCATTTTGGACCATTTCTTTTGCTCCAAACATCATGAAATTTACACACAATGTAAATGGCAGCAGGTATTTTTAAATGATGTCAAAAACTGAAAAATGACAAAAATGAGGTTTTGTTCCAACAGCAGCAAAATATTAAAGATGCTTTATACTTAAAGACTTAAATTGAAGAGAAACCAATATGCTAGACAGGGATATAATTGAAAATATAAAGAGAACATAAAAAGAACAACACAAAACATAAGAGAATGACATAAGATGTGAGTTGTAACCAGTTGCATTTACTCAGTTTCATGTACTCAAATAAAATTTTGTTGTATTTGTACTTTTCTGATGCGAATACATCCCGATTCCTGACCTCACAGTTCCAAATTCCCAAGTTTTGTGTTTAGTTTCATCCTGTTGCATTGGTTCAGCTGTTCTGCTGTTGCTCACGTTTCCCTCTTTGGAGTTTTAGCATCGGATTTCAATCAATCAACCTTTATTTAATCTCGGAGAACATTGAGGGTGGCCCTCATTTACAATGTTGACGAGTTGATACAGAACAAGGGATTGATAATGTTAAGAATATATCAAATAATAAAATAAAATGTAATTAAAAATGACTCAAATCAGTATAAAGTATAAAAAAAGAAACATTAATAATAAAAATACATAAAAACACAGTAGAAAATATAAAACAATAATTAAAACGTAGCTAAAATGTAAAAGTTAATAAAATCAAATCAAAATAAAATAAAGGAAAATAAGATCAAAAAGTAAACCAAAAATGAATTAAAATGACTAAAATAATAATAAAATAATCATAATTAAAATAAGAATATTAATAATAATAATACATAAATAAACAAATAAATAATAAAATAATGAAAATAAGACAATAATGGTAAAAAATCAGGTAAAACAAAGTATTTTAGACAAAAAGAGAAGAACAGGGCCTAACAAACTAGAGTTCCTATGCTAAAAGGTGCTGAATGTGCTAAGATCTTCTACGGCGGTTTTACAGGGAACTTGTATATTAATAACTATTAGTACTTAATAACCAGTAGCTTTCTTGGTCATTACTTTCACAGCAGCTTTACTTCAGGACATTTCAGGCTCCTCTACCCACCTGTGGACAACAATAGGAAGGCTACAGTTTCTACCAGAACAGATTTCTGTGAATGTTATGCAGTCATTACTTCATTTCACATCTCAGTTTAAGGCCTGAAAGCAAAACAGTGGAAAGTAAACCTAATTTGATATAAATTAATACATAGATAATCCATGACATGTTAAACCTATCAGGGGCCTGTTTTATCATTTTTGTGGAGATTTATGGAGTTTAAGTACAAACCTTTCATGTAAAAAAACATCATCAACAACAACTGTAATCTGATCTTGTTAATAAATTGCATTAAACGAGAAGTCCATTGTTTTTTTTTCAAAATTACTGTATAATTCAGTCACTGAGATTGAAACAAAGTCATTCCGAGTGGTTTGATGTGATAAACCTCATTATAGGGAAACTTACAGACTCATTTTCTTTACAGTGGTGGTGATAGGAACCAGTAGTGGCAACGTCCACAATACAAATATAGATATTTCATTTACTATCCAAAACCACCAGTGAACCTACACGAGTCTTCTGAGTGTTTGATAACGGTACAAAAGTGGTGAATCTGAAAAACTATGTTTTCTTTGGGTACTATTTTGCCTCGGAAAGCCTTATGTGTACTCCTCTGCCAATAATAATAATAATAATAAAAAAGTACATATATAAATATATACGTGTACACGCACACACACACACATATATATATGTATATATATATATATATATATGTGGTGTGTGTGTGTTTTTTTTAATCTCTCCATAGGAGTCACTGGTGTTACTGATCCTCATTGGTGTTACACATAAGAAAGGAAACACCAGAGACATTTTTAATGAACAATGCATTTTACAAAATAATGCATACAGAGCATCAAACCACATGTTGTCAATCATGGAATATCCACTAAAATATGGAATTTAATCCATTTGTATTTGATTTTTTTCACAACTACCTCAGAATAAAGTCGGTCACACCAGTGACTTCAGCTAAAAACTTCATATGAAATCATGAGCTAAATGAGAAAATCTCTGATAACTGAAAGACACAGTGGACTCACCATGTGCCTTTCTTCATAGATCCTCAGAAAACAGGTAAAAGGAAGTCAAGTGATGTCATCAGTGTGACTTTTATTTCAAAATAAGAGATTTTTGTTGTGCAGTAACACCAGTGACACGACTCCTGTGGACCACGACTTTCATTAAATATTTTATAATATTTATTTGTCATTTGTTTTCTTTATGTCGTGTAAATCATATATTCCATAGTCATGTAGAGATTATTGTAGGTAAAATTGCAGAAAAACATGTTTTGTTCTTCAAAATATGGCCTCAGCTTTTACACATGACTGTGAGGACGAGCTCTTCTGTGGTGCCTGGAATTCTATATAATTGATTTAAAAAACAATATTGCTAAATTGAGGCTCAGGAAGGTGTAATTGTTAAAATAACTTATTGTTCTATTTTAAAATATGAATATATTGTAACCCTAACATGTTTTTTTTTAAGTGTAATATATCTGTAAATGCTAGGGACACAAAAATGGACGTTTCTGTAGAATGACCCATATATACAGGGTGTCCCAAAAAAAATTGAAATCATTTCATAGTCTAATAACATAGCCAATGTATACACACACACACAGGCATTTAGTCCAACAGCAAATCTCAAAACTATTGTAAAACAAAGCCTCAGTCATCATGTAGCGCATTCATAACCATGTAATAAGTTGCTGTGAGGGAGCTTTTAGAGGTGGACGTCTGGTTCCTATCACCACCACTGTGAACAATTCTGACTCAGTAAGTTTCTCTAAAACTGAGCATTTCACACCAAACCGCTCTGATTGACTTTGTTTACATCTTCACCGTTTAATTATGCAAAAACTTTTTAAGAACCGATTAATTCCTCTTTAACTGACGTTGTCGTGGTCATTTACAATAAAACAGGACTTCCGGAGGGCTCTATGACTTGTCCTTTAATTTCAGCACGGCACGTCGCTTCCTCGCGTCACTCGTTGACGGACTTTCGACCAATGAGATTTCCAGATCTGCTTTCCGTCTCGGTGGGTAACGAATCATTTTGCTGCTTTAGCTCCAGTGGGCGGGCGATTTAGGACAACAACGCAGGGTATTCATTTTATAACCCCAAACACGTCAGTGGAGTTGGTGAACGGTCGAAGCCGCCTGAGAGGGATCGATAAAGCTATGCTGAGCATTAATTCAGAACAGTGAAAGTCTCATACGTCTAAATCAGCTACCGCGGGACAGCAGAGAGGAGTTTCTGGTCCGATATGGAGGAGAAGAAGGAGAAGAAGGAGGAGAGAGAGGCAGAGATCCAGGAACACGGCCCCGAGCACTGGTTCTCCAGCTGGGAGAGGCAGTGCCTGGCCGAGGCTGAGCAAGCCGAGCCCGGCGAAGAGGAAGTCGACCAGACCCGGGAAAAACTGTGGCACCTTTTCCAGAACTCAGCCACGGCCGTGGCGCAACTGTATAAAGGTCTGCGAGGAGCTCCTTCGCTTCATCTCTAAGCTAACAACGGTTAGCCTTAATTACCGGCAGGCTGGCGTTGCTAAGCTAACGTTCGAACTTTCCGTTCCACCTTAAATGGTTCAGCGGCTGCATTGTGGCGCCCCTAGACGCTAGAATGTAACTGCCGCACCACTTAAGGTGGAACGGGAAAATTCTGACTTGCGTAGTCTCCGATTTTCGAGACGTTTTGGGTCGATAAGCCACAAATGTAGGTTTAGTAAATCCTTTAAAAGCTTTCCCGCCGCTTTCTTGTGCTGAAACGTCGATATTTTTGTTGTTGTAGACGGACAGCCGCTCAAGATTTCGAGCCCAAGCGGACGAAACTGAAGTTGGCTCGCTATTCGCCAGCTTCTTGTTCGAATTTTCCCGTTCCACCTTAAACGGTACAGCAGCTACAGCGCCATTTAAGGTGGAACGGGAAAATTCTGAAAAAAGTAGTTAGCGTTAGTTGGCTAGCTTAGCTTCAGCTTCCTCCCGAGCGGCTCTTTCTGACGGGACACTGGCTAGAACGTTATAGGGGCTCCATTTTAAAGGAAAATGGATTTATTAACGTACAAAAACACTGATTTTTTTTTTTTAAAAACTACCATGTTAACTATGTAATTTAGCACCAGAAGTATCTTTAAGTACATAAAATCGTTTTAGTCGTAAATTTAAGCTGCGTTAGCCCAAATGTTGTTGCTGGGTGGCGGTAGCTGTTCGCTAACGTTAGCACACTTAAAGATGGTGTGTCAAGGGTGCCTTAGTAAAGGGAACGGTTCTATTTGGAACCATGAGTTCTATGTAGAACCAAGTGGTTTTCATATTGATGGAGAATGTATTGTATATGGTTCTACATAGAACTATTTTGAAAATTGGTTCTATATGGCAGCAAAACGGGTTCTGTTATAATGTGAAGCTTGTAACAGTAGAAAAACCCTTTTGGTGTTACATAGAGCCATGTTCAAAAAGGTTCTGTATAGAACCATGTACAGCACATTCTCCCGCAATGTGAAGAAGTGTGAAATGGTTCTATATCAAACTCAGGGTTCTTAGTAGAACCTGTTTTTTAAGAGGGTAGCACACTAGAAAGGTTGATTCCCTGTTAAGTTTGAATAATTTGTGCCAGTAAAATGTGTGACATTGTGGTAAATATCCTTATTTCGTGTTTCAGTAATTGGCTACACATTAAATCAGGCATTATGAATGCGTTTCTTTCCTATGTGGCTGTGTTGAAAGCCAGAGAGTGCTAAGCTGGGCAACACCAGCTGATTTTGACAGAGCTTTTGTGTCAGCCTTAGCAACCAAGCCACCCAAAAAACTGAAACTGGACTGAAGGCCAGAAGACTCTGATTTGAAAACTGTTCATGGTAATATGTAGATAGACAGTGCAGCACTGTTCTACACAATTTATCTTATTTTAAAGGGCAATTTTTCAGAATTTCTGCTTAATTTGTCGGTTAAGATGTAAACAGTCATTGTGAAACCTACCGAGTCAGCATTGTTTACAGTGGTGGTGATAGGAACCAGACATCCACCTCTAAAAGCTCCCTCACAGAAAGTTACTAGATGAACTGGTTATGAATTCACTGCCTGGTGTCTGAGACATTGTTTTATGATAGTTTTGATAAGCTTTTTAAAAAACCTGTTCATGGCGGAGGGGTACATACAGGGCGTTGTGAGGCAAAATAGTCCCCCTTATTTTTTCAGGATTACCACTATTTTGCCATTAACTTTACTTAAAAACACAGACATGTAGGTTCACTGATCATTGGATAGTAAATAAAATGTCTATGTTTGAGTTGGAGATTTATCAGAGTTGGTAGGTTTCATGTCAAAACACTCTGAATGACTCTGTTCATCATATAGAAATTTCATAAAATCAGAATTTCCCTGTAAGTGCTAAAATACTCGTCTTAGCACGTAAAAGGAGATGGTGTGGTGGTCAGTGCTGTGAAGACACATGGAACAAACTGAGGAGGCTTGCTGAATTGTATCTCCTAAGGTTTCATGGTTCTTCAGGGGTTCTTTAGTAACGAAAATGCTTCATAGTAGAACACTTTACATGATTAGAGAGTTATTTGTATCGTGAAGGTGCTCTTCAGACTGATGGAGAATGTGCTGTAGATGGTTTTGGAAAATGGTTTATATAGCACCAAAAAGGGTTCTTCTATAATTACAAACTTGACATCATAACGACAGAAGAACCCTTTTTGGTGCTATATAGAACCATTTTCAAAAAACACAGTCTCCAACAGTCTGAAGAACCCTTTCACAGTGCAAAGAACCCTTTAAGCATGTACAGAGTTCTTTGAGTATTCTTGGTTTTTATATATATGTATATATATATATCTTTAAGAGTATAGAAATCCGCTTTTTGAACATTCATCTACACTGAAAATACTTTTTTTCCATATATTCCATTCCATATATTTAATAATACAGTATAATTAATGTATAAGGATGTGTAAGTACATTCTTACATGTTGTGTGAACTGAGCTGTTGCCCTTTGAAAGTACAAAAGCATGCCTTTGCAATCTGAAACGTTTTAGTCACCCTCCACAGTCATCCATCACGTGTCCTTACTTTTATTTTTGTCTTCCAGATCGAGTTTGCCATCAACAAGGATTGTCGCTGTGGGTGCCCTTTCAGAATGCTGCCACTACAGTGACCAATCTCTACAAAGGTACAGCTGCACACACCTAGGGGTCATCACTGGACACTCATGGGTTCATGACCGTGAGTCTGATCATTTTCTGTGTTTCCCTTTGACAGAGAGTGTTGACGCACACCACAGAAGCTATGATCTAGGAATTCAAACTGGCCACCAGAGGCGCAATAAGGATGTTCTGGCTTGGGTCAAAAAGCGAAGGAGGACCATCCGAAGGGAGGATTTGATAAGCTTCCTGTGTGGCAAAGCGCCACCGCTGAGGATTTCGAGAGCAGCACCCAGACTGTCTCCCAACCGGCCGCCTTCATCAGACACGGTTTCGTCTGTAGAAACTGATTTACAGCCCTTCCGCGAAGCCATAGCGCTGCACGGTAAATCAGTACACAATATCATTGAGCCTAAAGCCTCTAAAGACATGTTTTAGATCTCATTGGGGAAAACAAGCTTAAAATACATAGTTTTAGTACCACTAAACAAAAGCCGGCATTATTATACTTTATACAGCAGTTATTTCCGGCCCCGCAAGCTGATTGGTTGAGAAGTGTTCTAACCATGCTGTTGTTTTTCACAAACACTGTATCACTCTGCTGAGACGCCGTCGCTAAGCAACAACTTTGACAGGTGTAGGAGACGCTCAAGCCATTTGAACGCTTTTACTTCTTACTTGCCACAAACAGAAAATGGACACTTTTAAGATCACATTTGACTGACAGCCGATTTGGTCAGACTCTGAAGATGAGACAACACTAAATTCCCAAACTGTCGTCACCACTGAGCAGCTTTTCAGTCGGCAGCTGAGACAGAAGAACAGCTGAACAACCTGGAATCAGCCAGAAATGAACCCAACACCATTCGCTAAACTAAACGGGCTGTAAGATGCTTTACAGACTGGCTGGAACAAAACAACGTTAATACTGATCTGGCAAAAACTGACAAAACTGAGCTAAACTTGATATTGCAGCAGTTTTATGGCTCAGTCTCATTTGGTCAGACTCTGAAGATCAGACTACACGTTTGGCGAATGGTTTTGGGTTCATTTCTGGCTGATTCCAGGTTGTTTAGCTGTTTTTCTGTCACAGCTGCTGACTGAAAAGCTGCTCAGTGGTGATGACAGTTTGGGAATTTAGTGTAAGGAGCTGGAGAACGAACTGCTGGCTGTGCAGCGAGTGGGCGGAGCTCGTTACTCTTACGTAGCAACGAGCTGCTCGTTAAGGAACTATAATTTGGTGAAGGAACTGCGAACATTAAAACATATTAAACGCCGCGTTCACAGCCCAGTTTATTAATTTATTACTTTATTTATTTAACTGTTGTATAAAAGCGATAGAACACCCAAGGTCGTGTATGTTATTGCACTCCCTCTCGTGTTCTATGGTTTAAGCTTGTAGTTTTAACTACTTGGACTAAGTGCCTTCTGCTGAATTCAGGATCGGGGTGCGATTGGTTTGGTCCAGGAATGTGTCAAGTTTGCAAATAGCTGTAAGAACAGATTGTGTAACTTTCACAGAACAGAAATGAATAACCTCAAGTGCTAAAAGACCAGAAGTGACCTGAACGGTCAGTGTCTGGCTATGCAGGGCCAGTGCGGCTCATTGATTCTCTTTGTTTTGTGAACATCTGCTCTTTGGTTACATAATAGACACCACTATTTGTATTGTGTCTAATATATAGACTAGCTACAGTAGGGCTTTTATGTAGATGTTCTCTCTTTTTGACAGTTTTAGGCCACATTTGTGGCTTCTTCTCAGGGTTATTTTTGTTTTTACATGTTATCAGTTTTTGTTGTTTAGATTTATGTGTTGGTTTTTTAGTTTCGGTTCGTGTTGGTGCATTAATAGCTTTGGTTTTGCTTTTATTTTCTTGAAAAGTTTTAGTCTTATTTTTTTATCAATTTTTATTTTCTATAATTATGTATGGTATTTTTTCAGAATTTGTGTGTAATTCTAAAACTGTTCCTTCTGATTAGTTATGCAATGCGGTATTAACACATCTAAAGCTAGGCTGCTCAAAGACTATGGCATTGCGTTATGCGACGACATCACAGCTATCTGTGTGTTTAAGGTTTCACATACACACTTAAAAAGGATGGTTCTTCAAGGGTTCTTTAGTAAAGAGTTAAATTAAAGGGTTCTTTGCATCAGACTGATGGAGACTGCGCAATAGAACCTTTGGTGCTATATAGCACCAAAAAGGGTTCTACTATTATTACAAGCTTGACATCATAACAATAGAAGAACCCTTTTTGGTGCTATATAGAACCCTTTTCAGAATGGCTCTATATAGAACCAATTACAACACATTCTCAATGAATCTGATGAATCCTATTATTATCTTAATATTGTTTATTTATTTACTTTAAAAAAACAAAATGATATTTCAAATTCAGCCCATTTGTTTTGTTTTTTCCCCCTGTTTAGTGACCGAGGTATAAGTGGTGTCTTGCGCTGACCAACAGGGCTGCACTCCAAACCTTTTTTGGGTTTTTGTTTTCCTTTTAGCTGCTGAGTTCTGAATTTTCACACTTTCTAAAGGTCTTGGTTTGCTGTTTGTTGGCCACTGGAGAGCTCCAAAGTCCTAGCTGTTTCCAGTTCTCATGTGAGATCTCACAATAGGAGGCTTGTGTTTCCCCATTGAGGCTTAGAGAGTGGAAGAGCAAGGAGCTTCAATAGTGTCTGTCTCGCTGTTGTGGTTATGGCTCATTTGTTTTATGGTGCAGTAAAATGTTTTTTTCCCATTTTAAAGGGTGCATAAAACCTAGCCGAAGGTAAAACTACAATATTATTACTATTATTGCTAAACCCGATCATCATCCGGGGACATTCATTCCAGTCGTTTCTGCACAGCAGCTTACTTTTGTACTATACTAGTGGGCGATAATTGCAAAAGTAAAACATCACAATACTTTAATATATTATGTGTATCACAATGTTTGTTAAGCTATAACATGGAAAAAAGAGCCACATAAGACACTAAACTCTTTATACAGTGACTTTTTTTTATTTAACCTTTTATACGCTGTATTAGGGCTGGGCGATTAATCGAAAAGTAATCAAAACCGACATTCAGAACCTCTAACCAGCGTAATCTTGCCCCTGTCGGTTATTTCGATTTTTTTTTTTAATTCTGTTAATCTTTTCCCCACTCTGTGTGTTCGTGTACTGTCCCCTCAAAAACTTACTACTGCACGTGTATCACGTGACTCCGCCATGTCTGCGACATGAAAGCTAAGGCTCCGTTCACACAGCAGGTAAAAGTGGCCCAAATCTGATTTTCTCACCAAAACAGATTTTTTTTTGTTTGTCTGTTCAGATTATCTTTTAAATATGATCTGTATGAGACATCAGTCTGAACAGATCAGCTCCTAAACTGAGCCGGATGCGCAAAAGAACAGAGCGTCACGCTGCTTCACGGCTCATCCAGAGGTAAACAATCACGACCACCAACGAACGCCAGTCGCTCCCGGAGGATCAGCTTCATCTTCACCAGCATCACAGGAGCCATCATGAAGCTTCACTGACTGACAGCTGGGCTCATCACCCAGAATGTGTTCGAGCCGTAAAAAGGGCGCGGTCACTTCTTTGGTTCGCGTCCTCGGATTCTTTAAACTCTGCTTTCAGACTTTAACTGTTCTTTGACGCTGCAGCCTCGTTCTCCTGCGGCCGCGTTCGGACACTTCTTTAGAAATCTCTTCAAACACGGAGGGTTTTGGATGAGTCTCTTCTAATTTTTGTACAGAAATATCAGCCCAAATGTTTGAGTCTCAGCAGCGCGAGATTATGACGAATGTCAAGTTGGATTGACGTAAAAGCTGCGTGAATTCCGATCTGGCTGTTGAGATGATTTACATTAAGATATGCAGAGCATATTTACAGTACAAACCTTGTCAGTGAACTATTAGGGCAAAAAAAAACAAAAACAAAGAAATTGTTCTTCGATCATAATCGAGGTAAAATATTCAATTAATCGTGATATTGATTTGAGGTCATATCGCCCAGCACTACACTGTACTAGATCTCTGTATAATGAAGCATATTAGCTCTCCAGGTTTTTCAAGAATTAAATTTCCACATGAATGCTGTCCCCTTGGTTAAAGAAGTGGTTCTTTCGTTTAGCACTGTAGCTATGAGGCAAAGATTGCTAATAAACAGTAGAAGTAAAGTCACCCAAGTCTTTTCTGTAAGTACATCCACAAAACCTCCCACATCCAGGTCTTTGAGTTAGTGCACAGTATGAGTTTTTGTGAGCTGTAATTATGAACAAAACTTCACCGTGTAGCTGACCACTGCAGACATTTCAGACAATGGGGGCCAAACTCGGTGACACCATGAAGTTTTACTCATTTTCATAATTCACAATAAGTCGTACGCTGTCCCAAAAGTCTTTTTTACATTCCTTTAAAGGGCCCATGCAGTAGAAAACTGAATTTTCCTTCCTTCTTTTTGAAATAAGAGCTTTATGCTTTTATTTTTTTAAAATATCATGAAAACTAGCTCATTTAAATACGTCTACCTGTTTAGCCTGTAGCAGTTTAGTCTCAGCCATTCAGTAACGTTTTATGGCGTGTTTCTGTGACTGCTTTTTGAATGAGGCAAAGCCAATCAGAACAGAGCTCATTTACATATCAGTCTTAAAGGCACAGTAACAAACAGCCTGCTTCATTCTAAGGCAGGGCTGCACAACTCCGGTTCTGGAGGGCCGGTGTCTAGCACAGTTTGGAGGTTTCCCTGCTCAAACACACCCACTTAACCTGGCGATTAACAGATAAGTATAATCAGGTGTATTCGAGCAGGTAAATCACCAGACTGTGCTGGACACCGGCCCTCCAGGACTGGAGTTGTGCACCCCTGTTCTAAGGGATACAGAGAAATTGGGTAAAAAGGTCATGTAGTGACGTGTTATGACGCTTTTTGGTGCATAAAAAGTTTTTAGATGTTAAGCGTCTGTCCAGAAACTGTCTTTGGTTCTTTTCTAATGCCGTCTCTTCCTTTGTAGGCCTGAGTGGAGCGATGGCTGGCATCAGTGTGCGTTCCAGCACCCCCGGCTCCCCCACCCACAACAGTAGCAGCTCCAATCCCGGCCGCAGGAGAAGCGGCTTTCACGACGTGGACTTGAACACTTTCATATCGGAGGAGATGGCGCTACACCTGGACAATGGCGGGAACAGAAAGCGGACATCAGCCCAGTGCACTGATGTCATCACAGACTCGCCAACCCATAAACGCAACAGAATGATCTGAGCCTGGTCAGCAATCGCAAAATGCACTATGCTGCTTGAAAATAAAAGCCACTTAATCCTCAATACCTTTATTTTCCCCTCTTGAAAGGAAGCAAGGGCCATCGAACATCTCACACCTGTGAGCTCCAATAATGATTGCCATAAGGCGGACCACCGTAGTACCTTTTCTGTTATCAGCTTACTTTTACCACGTTTTGCCACAAGGTGGAGTCAGAGCCACAAAGGAAACAAAAGGAATACTTCACACAAAAATGCTCCGTCGGGTCATGAAAGCAGTTGATGACCCGTTTGCTTAGTCCCGTTAACTGGCAACTGGCTACTGGCTGTTGGCACATTATCAGCATTTTTGAGTGATGTATTATATGATACATATTATATGTATATACACGTATTATACAGTGTCCTTTAGACAATAATGGAAAGGCACTGTGACGCCAATCACAATGTTAAAGGAATAGCATTTTCAACCCAATCCAGATCTGGACCTTGAATCCAGATGCTCAGCCTGCATTTTGGAATCACTAGTAGGCCTGATTCTAGGTGGCCAATCAATTACAGTTCAATTAAAAGAGAATTCTAATCATTTTTCAACATTGCTGAAAAAAACAGTGGTTGAGATGTAAACAGAGATTCAGAGTGGTTTGGTGTGAAATGGTTCAGATGTCTTTACAGTGGTGGTGATAGGAACCAGGCGTCGCCATGACTACAACACAGATATAGACAATTTATTTACTATCCAGAACCACCTACATGAGTCTTCTGAGCATTTATATGATGTAAATCTGAGCTCTGCATGCACCTCTTCACCATGAACCTTCTCAAAAGTACCATAAAACAATGCCTCAGACATCAGGCAGTGAATTCATGACCATTTCATGTAGTAACTTTCTGTGAGGGAGCTTTTAGAGGTGGACGTCTGGTTCCTATCACCACCACTGTGAACAGTTCTGACTCGGTAGGTTTCTCTAGAACAGAGCGTTTCACACCAAACCACTCTGGATGAACTTGTTTACGTTTTAACTATTTGATTATGCAGAAGGTTAAAAAATAGCTGGCAGTGATTACAAAATCCAAGACTGGGAAGTGGATTCAGGGTCTGGGTTTAAAGACCGCTGGCCTACTTGCTGTCCGCCACATCTGTAGCAGAAGGTTAACTACCACAGGCAGTATTTCCTCGTGCTTAAAGAACTGTTAAGCATGGGGCGCACATCAGAATTGTTTGTGGTAATCAGTCATATGTTACAGATACAGGAGACAGAGATCAGCCTAAAAACGTTGGGTTGTTCCTTTAATATTTGGACTGTGGTTTCTAATTCCAGTCCTGGTCTGTCCATGTCCTGCATTGTAATGCTTTTTCTTCTGTATCAATCCTTGTTAAGCTTTGTAATTACCTTACGGGCTCGTTTCTGAGACCAGGGGGGTATTCCACATAGCAGGATTTCTCAGTTTAGCTAGATAATTTAAACCCAAAGTCAAGCCTGTCCAATAGGAAAAGAGCTAAGGGGCATTCCCATTGGACAGTCCTCATCTTTGGGCTTAAGTTATCTGGCTAACTAAGAAGTCCTGCTTTGTGGAATACCCCCCTGGACTAAACTTAAGCTTAAATCTAGGCTAAACTGCGCATATACATATAAAATTTACATAAACACACATTTTTTTAACGTGCCATCGCACAGGTTAGACAGACATATACATTTGCAATGACCATTTGGGTCGCTAAGCCATTTAATCTTGTGACCACAATAATAGAAACATGCGGTTCAGCACCAAAACAGCTGGTTGTTGCTTTGGAAAAGGAAATATTTTTTTTTAAAAAAACTATCTTGGTTATTTCATTAGGTTCTGTTTAGCTACTGCAGTGGTAGCCTTGGAGTAACACCACCTTATTTTATTTAAGACCTTGTTTCATAGAGTGAAATCAGCAAACTTTAGCCAATGGGACATCATCTGTGACTGCAGGTGGACCAGCTCAGCAGGAGGGACCACCATGGTCATCACAGCGTCACATCAGCTAACACAGTGTTAACGATTAATTTGACAAAATCAAATTTGATGCATTTAGTTTCATGTTTGACCGATCAGGTTTGTTAAAGGCGAAAAGTAATGCGAAAACAAACTCCGAGGCAAGTGGCCACTCGGGCTACAGACGGACGGTCAGTAGGCACTGTCTAGTCCTGGCATTGCAGTTTAGTCCAAGATGAGGCTTAATCCATGTCCACCAAACCTGCCCAGTGAGTTTAGCTGGGTTTGGTAGGCTGGCCAGAACTGTGCTTCCCCAAGACTGGAATTTAGACCCACTGAAACAGCAGACGTTGACTGTTTTGTCGACGACTGAATTGGCTGATTATGACAGTATTTCCACTTCATCAGGTAGCGTGTGGGTGGACCTCATTCTCCACGCAGAGCTCTCGACTCCTGGCCTTTGAACCAGGTCTGCTCTAACGTACAAATGCCACTTTAATATATTCATCGTTTTTGCCTTCGTTCTCGTATCATGGCAGTTCTGTTCTGTTGATCCGAACAGTAATGGACAGAGTGCGAAGTCTTATTTTGAAGCTGCTGTGGATTTAAACGTGTGTGGACTTGAAGCAAAGATCTTGCACCACTAATACCATTGAGGCGTCTCGGAGAGCGATAAGAGGAACGCAAGTTTAGTGCAATTATTGACTTTTAAAGGGCATGGCTGGAAGTCAGTGGCTCAGAACCAGGTGTAAATAGTGCACACGGGGTTTAGGAAGGGCCGTGTCATCAGAGGAACCCGATGATGGTGATAAGAAACCTACTTTGGCTTGAAATTGAAGTGTCCTTTTACACGTGTGCCGCTCCGAAGCCTCGCCGGACTGCATGTTCCCACCGTGGCGCTACGACGGTGTAGACGACCACCTGAGATCATTGCCTATCTTAAGATTTCACCACAGTCCTTTGGTTCTTAAGGGTCATTGGAAATTTCTTTATACCACTCAAGTTGACAAAGTTTTTCGTGGATTAGAGTTTTGAGAGAAAAACATTTAGGTGTTCCTGTGACACATTGTGAAACAAAAAAAAAGAGTAAAACCGATTAGTTTCATTAAAAATTAATAGGAAAAATTTGTTGGTGTTTAAATAAAAGAGTAGCATTTAAAGTTCATTATTTATGTTAATATGAAGTTGTGTTGATTTGCTTTGACCCCACATGAAGTTCTGTGTGCGGATGTGGTTTGATCCATCGCTACTGTTTTCCTCTTCTTTCTTCTTCTTCTATGGATTTTTTTTCTTTCTGTTGTATCATGAAACGTTTCAGAACACTACCGTACCTGTACAGGTTATGTAGGATCCAGTAACCTTTTTTTTTTTTTTCCTTTGTTTTTTTTTCATCTCAACACGGCAATAATTTAGTTGTCCATCTCGGTTGCGGTTTGTATTGCAGTTCTGGATTAATTTTGTCAGTCATACAGACAGAAATGTGAAGTTTACAGCGCTCTGCCACAGACCTGTGATAAATTATTTGCTGAAATAAAGCTAAGATTATTCTGATATTGTGTCCCAGTTTTTTTCAGTTCCTTCTGTTCTTCTGCTATGGTTATTCAGACTGGATCTGGTAGATTCTGGGCCATATGGTGAGGAAAACAAGGACCTGCGCTTCCTGCTGGTTGCGTTCAAAACGGTTTGAATCACTCAAAAATCATTAAAATCGTGCTGGAACTGAATGTAAAGTTTCAGAATGGGAATTTATCCACACCATTAACACCACCACTACAATAACTGTGTTCTTTTATGGACATAGAGCTCCATACCTTCCATACTGTGGTTGAATTTAGGCCAAAACATGCATAGAAGCTTTTTAATAATAATAATAATAATTTTTATTTATAGAGCATTTTTCATGCCAGTGGCAGCTCAAAGTGCTTTACAGACAGGAGATAAAGTCAAACAGTAATACAAGAAATTATAAGTATTAATTCAGATGGCTTTAGTATCCTACAGAGCCCCACACCTTACCAAGTCATGGGAATGACTTAATTATCTCATTCCCACTCTTCAGTAAGTTGTGGCCACGACTTAGCTTTCAAAACTGAATTATCTCATTGCCACTACACGTCATCCTTTCCTAATAAACATGATGTGTGGCCACAACTTACTAAGACATGGGGAAAAAAGATCCTAACATGACTTAGTAAGGTGTGGGAACAAGATAAAATTGTTCTAACTCCTTGGCCACTGCTGCCATGACTTCCCCTTAACACTAAATTATCTCAGTCCCACAACGTAACTATTATGTTCCCATACCCTGACTTATCTCATTCTCACGTGTCAGTAAGTTGTGGCCACGACTTGGCTTTCAAAGCTGATTCATGTCATTCCCTCTACATGACATCCTTTCCTAGTAAACATAATGTGTGGCCACAACATACTAAGGCGTGGGGAAAAAAATCCTAACATGACTTAGTAAGGTGTGGGAACGAGATAAAGTTGTTCTCACTTCTTGGCCATTGGTGCTATGACTTTCAAAACTTATTTATCTCATTCCCACTATGTAATGATCTTGTTCTCACACTTTACCAAGTTGTGGCCATGACTTGACTATATCATTCTCATACTTCAGTGCGTTGTGGCCACGACTTGGCTTTCAAAACTGAATTATCTCATTCCCGCTACATAATTATCCCATTCTCACACCTTACTAAATTGTGGCCATGACTTAACTATCTCATTCTCACCCTTCAGTAAGTTGTGGCCACAACTTTCAAAACTGAATTATCTCATTCCCACTACATAATTATCCTGTTCCCACACTTTACTAAGTCATGACCATGACTTAACTATCTCGTTCTCACATTTTAGTAAGTTGTGGCCACAACTTAGCTTTCAAAACTGAAGTATCTCATTCCCATGACGACAGTCTCATTTGGTGTCCGGCAGTGCTCCATCGTATCCCAGATGTCAGATTAAAAATACCTCAGATTTGAGTTTCCATCTCGGATTCCTGTAATTCGGTCAGTAAATACAGATTAATTCACCACACAGTCTCTGCTCCCAGCCCCGTTTCTGCTGACCACAGTGTAGAGCCCATGCTTGTGTCTTTATCATGATGGTCGAGGAAAAGGAACTCCACTGGAGACTGGCCTTGTGGGTAAATCTCTGACCAAAGCCTTGGCCATAAATAAACTTTATTGCGCTAAATAAAATATAATACTGGATTATAATCCAACATTCCAAAATGGAGGCAGTTCAATCAAAAAATGACGTCCAGAATGATGAACAGAGCTGCAGAAGCCTGTAGATCATCAGGTTAACTTCCAGAATTCCTCATATTTCAAAAGATTCAGTTCCAAGACAGAAGATAATTACATCATGATCGTATATTATTTGTCATTTTATTCACTTCTTGTTCACAGAAAGTTTGAAATTTTTAATATATTATATATAAACCGATATCAGGCATCACATTCTGACCACCTCCTTGTTTCTATGCTCATTGTCCATTTTATCAGCTCCACTTACTATATAGGTGCACTTTGTAGTTCTACAGTTACAGACTGTCCATCTGTTTCTCTGATACTTTGTTAGCCCCCTTTTACCCTGTTCTTCAGTGGTCAGGACCCCCATGGACCCTCACAGAGCAGGTACTGTTTGGGTGGTGGATCATTCTAAGCACTGCAGTAACACTGATGTGGTGGTGAGATATATATATAGGGAATCTGGGTTAAGATTCAAGGCTGTGGTGCAAAACTCTAGCACTGGGGGGCGCCATTGGCACAGGAATAAATCAACAGCACCAGCAAAACTGAAGACGAGCCAGAGTGTTGTAAAGCAGAATTTCGCTGACTTTTAAAGATTTCAGCTTGTTAAGATGTAAACATTTCACAAACCACTCAGTTAATTTGTTTACATGTCAACCACTGAAATATGTTGAAATTTTAAAAAATCAGTGGAATTTATGTTTATGTGCAGTTTGGCCTGTGAAAGCCTGACTCTGTTAGAGTCTGTTTTCATTTCAAAACTGTTCCTTATCTAATAAACTGAAATGATTGATTCTGAAACTACTCATACCTCTTTTCCTCCACGTTGAACGCATTCAGGCGATTTCATTTCAGTTCCATTCAGTCACACCACTCTTACTGGGTGGAGGTAAGTATGTTAAAGTGAATGCTGCACTTGTTTCACCTTGACCTGCGTTACTGTGTATTTAGTGACCACCTGTTTTAAGGTGGTCATTAAATAAGATGCATATTTCCAAAGCAGTATTTCCACCTTACTGAGCCATGGCCATGACTTAACTATCTCGTCCCCACACCTTAACAAGGCATAGACATGAATTAACCATCAACACTGAATTGTTGGCCACAACTTAACTATCCCATTCCTACGCCTTACTAAGTCATGACCACAACTTAACTATCTCATTCTCATGCCTTACTAAGTCATGGCCACAACTTAACTATCCCGTTCCTACGCCTTACTAAGTCATGACCACAACTTAACTATCTCATTCTCATGCCTTACTAAGTCATGGCCACAACTTAACTATCCCGTTCCTACACTTTACTAAGTCATGACAACAACTTAACTATCTCATTCTCATGCCTTACTAAATCATGGCCACAACTTAACTATCTTGTTTCCATGTCTTAATAAGTCATGACCACAACTCAACTATCTTGTTCTCACGGATTACTAAGTCATTACCACATCTTAACTATCTTGTTCTCTTGCCTTACTAAGTCATGACCACAACTCAACTATCTTGTTCTCACGGCTTACTAAGTCATGGCCACAACTTTACTATTTCATTCTCATGCCTTACCTATCTTACGAAATCATGGCCACAACTTATCTGTTTTGTTTCCACACCTTACTAAGTCATGACAACTTAACTATCTCATTCTCATGCCTTACTAAATCATGGCCACAACTTAACTATCTTGTTCTCATGCCTTACCTATCTTACTAAGTCATGGCCACAACTTAACTATTTTGTTTCCACGTCTTACTAAGTCATGGCCACAACTTAATCTCTTTCTCATGCCTTACTAAGTAAATACCATGCATTAGGATTCCATTCCCATGCCTTAGTCGAATGATGGAAACTGGAGGCTCTTTTCATTTCATTTCCACTCAGTTCCATCACTCTAACTGTATAAGAGTATATGTGTTTAAGTGAAGGCTGTGCTTGTTTGACCTTGACCTGCGCTGCCCTGTATTTAATAAGAACCTTAAAACAGCTGCACATTTCCAAGGCAGTAATTCCACAGGCGCTCTAAGGCTGCTGGAAATGATATTAGAGTCCAGAGTGTCCACGCTGGCCTCTTCTGGCTGCTCTGCACGTGTGCTGGAGATGCAGATATGAACGTGAACAATTTATGAAGGCCATAAAGGCAAAGTGGCAGTACGGTGGAGCAGAAACACGGGCCATTTAAGCTGGGCTATTTCCAGGCTTTCGGACGCAGGTTTACGTGACAGTGACCTGCGGGGTCAAATAGTCAAAGCTGGCCCGTTGGACAGTTATGAGAATTTCTGTGCTTTTTTTCCCCCCAAACATGTAAAGCCTCTCCATAGGCAATAAAAAATACATTCGAAATAATGTGCGGTAAAAGCCGGTGTCACATAGATCATGCTTCGTACATGTCTGTGTGACAGTGTGCAAATCCTGTCACAGAGTAATTATTCATGCGCTCAGCTCAGCTACTCTGGCGTAATGATGGCGGGCGATTTGTTATGCCGCTTAATGTTTTTTTGAACAGACAAATCCTCCTCTCTGCACCTTCAATTTTTGAGAAAAATGGGGCGAGAGAGTCCACTAAACGCATAATCAAATTTGCATGGCCTGATGGAAGGGGCTGCACTTAAAAGGGAATTTGTAACAGCCAGCTCAGCTGTTAAAAATCAGCAGGAGTACTTTAAAGGAAAGGTTCACTGAAAAATCAAATTGACACATTTCCCCAACCTCGAACCCCAAACGGAGTCAATTGGTTAAGGCCTTCTCCATATACATGCGGTAGTTTTTTCTGTTTTGGCCTCCTGTCCACACAAAAATGCCGTATTAGGTCAGTAAAAATGAAATATTTTTGAAAACTCCATTTTCAGTGTTTTCTTGTGGACGGCTTTTTAAATCACTGACATCTTGCATGTGATTGTTACTGTTGAGCACGCAGAGCAGACTGAAACACAGCTGATGACTGAGTAGATAGATAGATAGATAGACAGACAGACAGACAAACAGACAGAAAGATAGACAGATAGATAGACAGACAGACAGACGGACAGACAGAAAGATAGACAGATAGACAGACAGACAGACAGACAGTTGAACAGCTGCCCATCCTGTGCGTCTGATGCTGCTGCCTTTTCTGCCTTGATCGGGTGCCACTGTTCGCCAGCCCTCTGGACCGGCTTGACCACCATCAATCTCCATGTTGTACTACGCCATGCAAACCTCACCCTACAGCCTGACCCCTCTGATACTGATGCTGCCGCTGCTGCTGCATGAACTAAACTAATCAAATTAATCATTGCTCCACCTGTTTTCCCCGTTT